AGTTCCTCAACAGTCAACCGCAATATATGAACTAATTTCACGTACTAGCTATAGCCCTTTAAACATTTTAGGTATAATATACGTCAGTTCGACCTTAGAATAGGTCAACGAATTATTTGGCTAAAGTAAATATTACGTCTTATTTACCTCAAATTTACCAATATGGGGAAAACACTGGAAATAATTCAGAAGACGAGAATGGGGATATTAGGGTATCCTGACCAATAGGTCGAGAGAACAATCAGGTAAAATTGCCCTAATTCGAGTCGGATAGTGGTCTGATTTCAGTTATTCTGACGTTATTCATTACCTACTTATGGGAGATTTCTACATGGTTTACTGTCATTTGGATGGGTTTGGAAAACAAATATGTACCGTGTTTCACGATCGACTATACCTACTTATTTACGTGTGGAGACTTAGGAGTTTATGAACATGGCGTTCAAAAGAAAACTTGATAGTGGTGAAAGGTGTAGATAATATGCATGTTGTTTAGCTAATTTGAGGTTGTTGTGAATTGTTATTCAACCTGCGATGCAAAATTAATTGTGATAATGTTGATTTTACTCATATAAAATTAGTGGGCCCACGAAATTATTGGATTTGTAGAAAAAAACTGGATGATATTCTTTGTGTTTTAGATTTTTTTTCAACAATTTCATCTAAAAATGAATCAATTGGTAGAGTATGATCAGATATGTGAAATTTAACCTTTTCTGTATTACTATTCGCTGGTCGCTATGTAAAGATTTTTTCTTTTTTCGTCAATGGCGAAGAAGGTTCGAGCCAACAAATATGGCGCCGGTTTCATATTGAACTTGAAACTCGAATTTTCCAGAATTTTCGACTTTCAGGGCGAATAGGCTTCGTTCATAGTCTAAGATTCTGTTTATTTTGACTATGGAGCCCAATTTCCCCATATTGGATTTTCAGACTATATCAACGAGTATAGTATTTGAGTAGCAGTCAACTTGATGGAATAATGTTGTTAGATGTTTCCTATAATCATATATTTTGTCAAATGTTTGTTGTTTGCCTTCAATTTCTCATTCTGCACCGCGGTATGTTAATTTTTCAGCCAATCAGAGGAGTCCATCGCCGTGCCGTGTTGTCGTTCTTATAGACATCTTTCAAACAGTGTTGCCGTTCTAGTAGTACATTCGCCATTTTTGTACGTTCTCAACCGAAGTGAATTAATTGATATTGGTATTTTCGACTCTTTCAAGGACACTTCGTTCAATAAGGATTTCATAGTGGTAATCTTGCCTCCATCGGACATGAAGTTGGTGCTAATTAGGTTAAAAAAGTCAAAGAATCTCCTTCGGTATAAATCCGATTTATTTTCTCATATGATTATTCCCTGACTTTATGACTTTATGAAGTTAGAATCTGGTGAATTTCAACTCCAATGAATATCCTAAAAGTTCGAGGGCCTTGAAGACATTTTCTTGTAATTTTGATGTCGAATATTACCCAATTAATAACTAAATGCCCACTAGGACCATGAAGTTATGTTTGAAGTCTCTAATGAGTAGTTTCCAACTATGCAATTTGCCTATAAAGTTGATGGTTTCTATAGAAAATGTTGAGGTCCTAATCATGCATTTTACAACCTTATCCATAACTTTTTAATTCTCTTAAAATCCTAAGTATTCATAACCTACAGGAAAACAGTTTTTCGCAAAACTTATTGAACACGTAGCATCTTCCTTTCATCATCATATAATTCATTTTTCAAGATATTTTTCTTATTGAATCATCAAGATTGTCTAAAACTCTAAAACCACATCTTTATATGCTTTACTCCACTGTCCACTCGACAAAACTCAAAATTTGGTTCCCTTTCCTCATAAATAAACTTTTTGCTGATCTACATATATGGAATCCAAACTTCTTCAGACACTAAAATAGAGCTATTTCTATATCTCCATGTCACAACGTGTGTATTTCGGTTATACTTCGATTCAATATATTGAGGTATTCCATTTTGCTTGGTCTGCGAAATTCACTATGCATGCACATGTTCACATATGCACGAAGGCAGTTCGGATATTGATAAATAAAGGGTGAAATCCATCAGGTTCGTCTTGTACAACGAATGAAGCAAGTAAAATCTACGTCACATTATAAAACTTTAATTAAGGGCTATTTACAACTGATGGGTGCATGACGATGTATTCCACCGTAATGGAACAAAATTGGACGAACGATAGTCTATCTGCGAACAACCATGTAATAGCAAACGAGAAAATGAAAAATGAGAGGCTTTTTGAATGCCCGGATATTATTGATAGGTACATCAGCTAAATTCATCCAGTATCTGTCCTGCTATAAACCTAGATTGACTGTATAGATGTTCTCATCTCCCAGTTTTTAATAAACATCTGTCGTACTAATTCAGTCCCCTTCATTCCCTCTTTATTATATTTCTCCTTTGACATGTTTGAGCAGTGTAAAATTTTAATTTTTCCATTTCTGACCCAGCTATCAAGTTCTTCTTCGCTTGAAATCTCGCCCTGAAGGCATTGGATGCAAAGGGTTTTTCCCTTAATTTTCTTAATTGAATTTTTGAATACTGTTTTGATTCAGCAGATTTTTTTTCTGTCGGTGTTGGGATCTCACTCACTTTATTTCAAAGCACAATCAAGTTCAGACAGACTATAAACAGGACATAATGAGGAAAGTAATATATCATCATATTTTGTATTTAAATATTAAGATAGGTCTTTCTATAAGAAAACATTGAAATCATTCTAGTTTGAAGGACCTTTCTCTTGAAGATTTACAAGGTGTCATCTTCTTAAAATATAGTTGAGGCACTTGATGCTCACCCTGTACTGAATAAGAATTTCAAAAACCAAATCTTCGTTCAAATATCTCGCCATGAAATTTTTCAATGTTTTTCCAGATGAACTCAGAGGCCAATCTTTGAGTTTACAGGCGTTCAAGAATCGAATCAAAAATATTCTGATTGAAGAGAGTTTTTACACATTTGATGAATATCTAGTATTTTTTCTCACGTCGAAACTAAACTTCAAACTATTTTGTCATTGTTTCACTGTCATCTATTTGTGATTTATACTCTTATATGTAGCTCGTACTATAACTATATGTCTTATTATATTCATTTCTATTTTATTTATTTATTGACGTAGGTATGTATAAACACATGAATAAATCTATCTATCTATCTATTTTTTTTATGAACAATGAAAATATATTTATTCTTTGAAAGATGAGGAAATTATTGTTGAAATATCAGGAAACAATACTTTCCTGGCTGATACAACAAAATATTGAATCATATCTGTCAGATACCTACTGAAAATATCTGATATGGAAGGAATTGAGAAAAGGTACAGTAAACTATTATCTAAATAACTAACAGAAAATGATTATACTTTCCTGGCTAATACCACAGAATATCGAATCAAATCTGTCATCCATCAATAGAATTACCCATATTTAATTATGAGAAAATATATTCCTCAATGATATGTATTGAGAAATAAGTATACAGGGTGAGTCATGAGGAACTGTACATATTCCTACCACCTTCTCCTCTTCTTCACTAATAGTAATTTATAGGATTTAGCAGAAACATCTTCTGGTCATAACTTTCCACCAGTTTCTTCGATTCTTCTGAAACTTTCATGGAATATTTTAATCGATTTATTCGGAATCATAAAATCCAGAGCCTTTCCTGAAAAATTTCACTATTTTAGTTTAAATCAAAAAGTTCATCCTGTATATTTTTGTAAACTGGGATGAACGGCTAAGCTTTGGAATTCTTTGCTAATGAAAGTATATTCCCAAGAACTTATAACCTCCAAAAGCTAAAAAAAAAACAATACCTACCTCCTTTCCCTATCTTTCCTAGGTACGCATGATGTTATTTGAACATTATAGGAATTTCCTTTCGTGCGCTCCAAGAGATAAAATAAAATCACTTTCTACATTATATAATATCGACTTATCAAACATATATTCATTCGTTGATTCATTATTAATAATCATAATATCATAATATATTACGAAATATAATAATTCAATGTATAGTTAAAATTAATTTGATGTGATTCCACACGAATATAAAATAGTTCATGTCAGTGGATTTTTATTTTGCTACGAGAGTAGCTGCGAAAAAATAGTACTTAACTTCTCCAATTTTATGTCCAATACTCCTCCAATGATATTGTCTCCCTATTCCTAGAAACAACGCGTTATAGCCCAGATAGCACAAGTACATCTTATGGATATACTATGGATATTCATCATGGATATTGTGGATGTCCATAAGATATCCGAAAAAGGCTCTGATATATCCTATAGACGTCCATAGGATGTGACAGTGTGACCTTGTTGGATGTCTTAGAGATATTCATTATGGATATCCATGAGATATCAACTATGGATAGGGATAAGAGATAGTATACCCTATATATAGAAAGAATCACAAGAATTGGGAAGCACTCACGTCTCACTGCGTTCGAATGATGTAGTTGTCAGTTGCATCATCAATTTTGGACGAATTCGTAGGAATCACTTCCAAATTCACTTCAAATCAATTAAATATGAGAACAGATTGACATTATTTGACTATTCCAAGGTTGGTAGAATCGATGATCTATAAATAACCATAAGTTCTCTCATCTTGGACTATTTGAGACGTTACGCCACCTCGCGCTGTGTTACTTTTGTGGATCTCCTTTTATTTATTTATCATTTCATTCATTGTATATACTTGATTTGAAATTTCTAGGTATTGATCATTCGTCTCTGTATCTTATTATGGATATTCTATGGACGTATTCAGGACGTTTGTTTCGGATATCTCAAGTACATCCGCAATCGGATATCTTATGGATATACATTCTATGTCCATGGATATCCCGCCTTGAATAAGACTTGAAATGAATATCCATGAGATATCCTATGTTAACAGGGAGATGCGACCCCAAAACATATCGCCCGCAATCTAGTTTTTTGTTCGTTTCCAGGTTTCCTGGATACGCAAGAGAGATTTGCACATATTGACTGTGGGAATTCTAACCTACACGAACGATCAGCGATTCCAGTCCCTACACACCGATGGTTCAGACGAATGGACGCTGAAGGTGACATCTCCTCAAGTTAGGGATAGCGGTATTTACGAATGCCAAGTCAGTACGGAGCCGAAGATTAGCCAGGCCTTCAAACTTAGCGTTGTAGGTGAGTCAAGTTCCAGGTTGTCCTTGTTTTTGTTCGCATCCCAACACCTCACGCGAATCTATTACCAGCTCCGGAACCTCGTTAAACAATGGTCGATTCGCTATCCATATTATTCCTTACACGAAATTTCCAGATCTCCAACAATTCCACTGTTCTGTTTTTGACAAAGGAATGCTTGAAGATGATGTAGCGATACCTAGCAAACATTGTTGAAGTTGTTCTTTGTTATGGAAATTGATCTGAAATATTTGTATGTAGTTCTATTGATCTGTTCCATCAAAATGTGATCAATTCAACTTCCAAAATCTTAACATCAGTGGCAACTCTCCTGATGTAAACTGGTTGACAGTTTTTAGTGACAAGCTGAGGAATCTCATGTCTACCGGGTGATTGCTAGGTTAGGTTTTGAATTCATCACCGTATTCAGTCTTCCGAAATGAAGGAAGTTATACGGACATTGTTTTTCAGTTATCTTTTCGATGTTCACATCATTCCAGCCAATATTGTATTGTTTTGCTAATTTCGATTCATCAATATATCTCATATCGACATTTTGTATTATTGAGATTTACACTGGTTCGTTTAGTGATTTTAGGGCCATTGAATATACTGTTTTTCATGAGAAGAGTATCTAAACATATTGGCATGATATACTTTCTTATATCAAACATATATTGTTTTTCCACAACTAACCTGAGAGATCTCTAATGAGAAGTATAACACTTTTTTAACCTATAGTCAATGATATGTCTATATATGCAACCAATGAAGAATGAAACATTCATTATTCACCCAAGCATGAACCAAAGTTCACACTGCGAAGTTCACTACAGCTGAAAGCAATTTCTTGAAACTATGTGAATAATATCTCACAAATAAAAGGTGAGCTGTCTAATATGCTGTCTACGTGCGATATTCATCACTATCCTTCCTAACTTCAGGCGGTTGAGGTACATGCTTTCATATCAAAATCACTATCACTTAGATTCCTACAGTTTATTGTTCTTATTCATAATTTTTTTTTATTTCAATCCAGCGTCTGACAGACAAGTCGAATTTCTTGTTATAGTTTGTTCGACAACTGAACTCCTAGGCTACTAGATATATCGAACTATCAGTAATATGCTGAATAAACACTGTGAGGACCATTACTCCTCTAAAGGAAATGAGAATCTGAATTAATGAAAGATATTGATAAAAATATATAGAAAAAGATTATTGGACATAGCCATTGCTTTCGGCCCTCATTAGTACGGTGAAAGAAGTGCAAAAGATAGGCAACACTTGTTTCTACACTTAACCCTTCCTGAGGGCCATATCCAAAATCCAAATATTTTTCTAGTTCGCTTGAAACAGTTCCCTCAATATTCCCTCCATCTTAATTCTACTCCTGGACTCGGATGTCACGCAGGTAGCTATAGCTGTCTCCGTGATGAGGTTAGTTGTAGCCCTGAAAAGGCAGGGTCTTCTGACCGAAACCACAATTGTGCATCTGGCTTCTGTTTGTTGACTCCGTCGATTTGTTGTTTCGTGTTCCACCAAGTGTTGCCTATCTTTTGAACTTTCTTCACCGTACTGATGAGGGCCGAAAGCCTGAAACACATGTCTACGGTTAACGCTTCCTGAGGGCCAGTTCCAATAATCTTTTCCTAGTTTCCTTAAAACAGTTCCCTCAATATTCCTTCCATCTCAAATATACGCTTTTATAGGTTGGTTACCTATACAGAGCTTTCATTTCAAAACTTACCACCCTGCATATCTTTTGATTTGCGAAGATTACAGTTTTCGGAAAGAACAGGTCGATTTAGATATCGAGAAGGAAGTAAAATGCCAGTATCAATTGAAATCTATGTTCATCCCCTTCACCCCAGACACCAATACTTTGAAATCTCAAATGGCACCCCCCTACTTCGAAATACATGAAATTGAAGGTCTATCAATAAAGAAAACAACCAGGTGAAAAATAATTCATTTTGCATACAGGGTGGGTCATGAGGAATTGAACATACTCCTACCATGAACAGATGTCATCCAAAATGTATTCTCCTCTTCTACAATAATATACAGAGTGATCCATATGATTGGCAAAATATTAAATTTTCGTCATAATTTCCCAACAGCTTCTTTGATTCATTTCATTTTCCCATGGAATATTATGCACTCCAACACTAATAGACTAACGTTTACATAATTGAAAAAAATCCAGGACCGTACTTGTGAAATGTTTCCAGCTATAAAAGATTTCACTCTGTATATATGGTTTCAGTAAACAATGACATATTTTCTGTCAATCAGAACAAAATGTGTTGGTGCTTCATCCAGCTGAGAATGGTATATCCCACTAGTTCCTTTCAAAACCAAATCGATGAATCGTGTCTAAGAAGAAATGCAATTTTTCAGAGTGGTAATCAAATCAATTGCACAAAATGTGCTTCATTATTCTCTAGACAATAGTACAGCCTATTTTCGAATTCTTCACGAACTTTTTGAAACGTTTCCCGATTGATTTGTCTGCATTCGCTCAATCCTATAAATCACTCTGTTCATTGTTGTAGAAGAGATGGCCTTTCGATATTCTCCTCTGTTCATGGTAGGAGTATGTACAGTATCTCATGACTCACCCTGTATACGAAATAAATATTTTTCCACCTGGTTGATTTAATCATTGATAGACCTTTATAGCTCCCACATCATACCCTTAGGCGCTTCGCTGTATTATAGCTCACTTCTCACCCTAGGTGTATAATATACTATTTCTGTGGTTAATCCCTATTGAATTTCGATTGAAAAAATTCCTTTTGAGGGAAAGAAAAACTTACAATAGTGTGAAATTTCATTACTAAATCTCAATGTCCACTTCTCTCTCACGTATACATCAACCTCCCTCTTCTCAAACTGGTTCTGACGGTTGGTGAAGTGTAACATAATTTTTTCCGAAGTTTGCGATGATATCTGACAAACATGCTCGAGCACCATTAATTCGTTCGTTACGTTCGTTAACTTTAGGATATAACTCTCACTGGATACGTAAATTCGGATGAACTCTTCAGGAGTGTTGGAGTGGAAAACATGATGAGACATATATATTTTCTTCAGGTTCCCCGGAGATATATTCGATCTGACTGCTGCAGCTCATTTATTACTGACTGTCTCGGTCCCGGACAAGAATTGAAGCTGATGTTAGAAATGGTATTGTTTTTTAATTGAATTAACCGACAATTAATTATCTTCTCAGGAAATATATTTTGTATTGTATTCGCCATGACACTTGCTGCGCAGATCATTTTTTCTCTGTTAAATGTTTAATTAAAAAATGTTCTCTTTATTTTTACCAGTGATGTCAAAAGTGAAATGCATAATTCATCGATTATTATTCAGAAGGCAATTACATTTGTGCAGATTTTCCACAATTAGTGGTGCCATGTCATTTTCACACCAGGAAAAATTTTCCAAGATGTTCATGGATGCTACAATACAAATATTTATATCGATATAAATGATTGTTGTTTTCAAATGAAGTTAACTATTATTAGAAATAAACTCGAATTTCAACGCTTTTCATAAAACAGTTTTTAAAATAGTACTTATAAATACCATCAACTACAGCAACTTTGAGAGAGAATTTTGGACCACCATAAACAGGGTATTTGTAGAAAATTCAGGAGCATGTTGCTGATGTCAAAATAAGACAAAAATTTCGTTCAAATATATGTCCGAGAGTTATTCGTTTCTGAGAAACAGAGTATGAAAGTTGAATTCTCATTTTTTTTTTGTTAATAAATTCCAAAATATTGTGATATTCGAATGAAGTTTGGTATCTAGGGGTATTTTTTAATGACAATTTCATTTTATGTTAGTTTGTCTCTTTTGTATGGGTGGCGCCACCTACATGTCCTCGGACCTGAAAGATCACTCACCAAGTGAACTAATCAGCTTCATCAAGAAACTGGATCTATTTGGTGAAGTATGAATCGTTATGAGCCACAATAGAACCCACTCACTTGTAACCTAACCTAACCTAACCTATAATAGGGGTGTGAAGCTCTCATTGGACCACCCTGTACATGATTGAGAATACTGATGTCAAGGTATCAACCCAAAATTCAGTTATTCATGATCATGAGCATGTTAGGAGCACATAGTTTCGAGACGAGAGCGTAGATTTTTCGAACCATTCCCAAACCTCATTGTCAGATTGGTCACAGTGAATCACGTGATACATCATGGAAACATGCGCATTCGCTCGTAGAAAAACTTAGAATTATTAACGAGATCCTCGTGGTCTCAAGAGGAAGGAAAAACATCCTTGAAAGCCTAAATCACGACTATACAAATGATCATAGTGGGATGTTGCTATTAGTGGACCAGGATAAAACTCCCTGGCCAAACTCACCGTTCACAATTTTATTGCGAAAAATAATCATCAAAAAACACGAATCTCAACATATCACATGATGGAAATGGTTCGAAAGATTTAGGCACTTTCGCGAATAATACCAGGCTGGTTCATAGAAGAATCTGCCTGGCCAAACTCACCGTCCACAATCTTATTGCAAAAGATAATCATCAAAAAACACGAATCTCAACATATCACATGATGGAAATGGTTCGAAAGATTTAGGCACTTCTGTTTCGAGAGCAAGTACCTATACTAAATATGAATGGCTGTCACGCGATACGACCTCCTTGTTTCCATAGCTGAATTGTTCAGTAAAAGCAACAAATTCTTATGCTATTTGCACTAAACCTGTTTTTTTCCTGTCCGATATCAGCACTTACAGGGATGTTCTGGAAAAAAATTCAAATGCGTGAAGATCAGCTCCGCAGGATTTTTGACGATCTCTGATGCCATCATTGCGTGCCTTACAGTTCAATATCAGGATAGTATGGGTAGAACATGAGATTCAATCAACAGGGGTTCTGCACTTTCCATCATATTTGATTCAATAATGTGGTGCGACAGCACTTCCACTGAAATCCCTATAGGTCAACTGTGGCTC